TAACACCTTTTCTGGGGGCTCTGGGTTGCCTGCAACAGCTTGACCTGCATATATGTTTGGGAATTAATTTATCAAGATAACAAAGCTTTGTCTTTCTGAACTTGCTATGTGAAACAAAGAAAATGATAGGAAGTTGCAATTTTGTGATTTATAATAAATCCATATTTGGTCTTCGTCCACAATTTCTGACTCACAGCTCCCAAAACCTTTGGAATTTCCTAAGTGTTGCAAGTAAAGCTGCCTTTTGTCATGTTAATGACGTGACCTTTAGAAAGTAGCAATGGAACCAATCTGTGTAGAGGGTTGAACTTCCAAGTCCCAACTCCTGATTTCCAGGGAGGGGAAAGGAGTTAGAGGCTGAATCAATCCCCAGTGGCCAATGATTTAGTCAATCACGACCCTCCATAAACACTAAGAGGTTGGGGTTCAGAGAGCTTCCAGGCTGGGGAGCACCTGGAGATGGGAGAGTGACGGCTTGGAGAGGGCATGGAAGCTCTGTGTACTTTGCCCTGTGCATCACTTCCACCTGGCTGTTCTTTTTTTTTTAATAAACCAGTGACCTAGTAACATGTTTCTCTGAGTTCTATGAACTATTTCAGCACATTAATTGAACTCAAGGAGGTGGGGTGGGAACCTGTGATTTATAGCTAGTTGGCCACAAATTTTTAGAATTGGCACCATCTATAATAAAGTATAATATGCTAATTAGACCGGACGTCCTTCTGGACAACCTTCCGGACAAAAGCTGGGGCTGCGAGGGAAGCCTGGGTCAAGGGTGCCAGAGGGAAGCCAGTGCCAGCAGTTGGGGGAAAGAAGGCCTACTCTTGCACGAATTTCGTGCATCAGGCCTCTAGTTTTGTTATAAAAGGCAATTCTAGTGACACCATCTTTCTGTAACATTTTGTCAGTATTTTTTAACTGTTCTATTCTTCAAAGTGTCAGGAAGTAGCAATGATTTGTTATCCAAGGCTTACATGAGGCACAGATAAACCTAATTTAAAAAGTAAAAATATTATTGTTAGACCGCCCCAGAGCAAGGATGATGGATGAGTCAGGTACAGAAGCTCACCAGGTCAGAAAGCCCCAGTTGCCTAGCAATGGGCAAAACTGGGAAAACAAGAACTTCACCCCCAGGGTAACCTCTCCTCCCCTAGCATATCCCTGGTCAGGAGGTTTAGACCTCCTGACCTTTTCCTCCCTAAAGATAACATCTAGGCTTCAGTTGTATTTCAGCGCCAGAAAAGCAGCAAAACCAGACAAGTGACGCTGTGGCTGTCTCAGGACCAGCTCCATTGACTAATGACCCCATGTCCTGGCACCAACCAATCAGTGAGGCCACAACCCTGAAAGAGCACACTGGGAAGCTGATGAATATTCTATTAAGTCCCTTCCCTGAGACCTGCACTAAGATTTCCACCTGCAAGAGAGAGAGAAATATGCTCAGGACAAAGGACCCAGTGAGTGCTCTCCCTCCTAGGAGCATGCCCTTGCCATCCCCAACAGGCGTGTATCCCCCAACCTCTAAGGGACCCCATGAGACTTGCAACCAGGGGAGCGATGGGCCGC